ATTGGCATTGGCATGCGCAGTATGGGGGAGTGTTAGTTATGCCGCTAAATTTAACGCTTGCACTAACTCAGTTAAAGGATATCTATATTAGTTTCTAATAGACAAAAGACTTATCAATTTGCTTGGCTAAATTAATCTGTGCTACTGTACTATACAACTTTTTTTCTCTTTTTGGATTTTTTGTTTGTTTGTATTTTTATTTGAATTTTGAATTTCGCCTTTTGGACAAACAGCGGTCTTGTAGGGTTTCAGGTTCACAATTTGCCCCGTTTTGACTTCAACTCTCGCTGAAAATTGCATCTTGAACCCTTCATGCGTGACACCAAATCTCGATGGCTAGTTCGATTTAATAGTTAAAATTTGGAATACATCTGCAACACGGGCAGCGCCCATTGTAGGCCAATTGGTTCCACATGCAGAGCCCTGTAGCGCCTTAACGCCGGCCCGGTCTTCCAGCACACTGCCGCGTCCCTTCGCGACGGTCAGATCGTGTAGGGTGGGCCCACACTCTTGATCTAAGGGTCAGAAAAGCTGGCCTCCCATACCACAACGAGAAATCGATGTCACTGGCTGCTCTGGGGTTCGTTGACCACACAGTAAACACAAGAGGGATTCAGACTTTCTCAAAACGTCGGCCACACTGGCCCAGGGTTTGTCAAAATCCCCTTCCACAGGTAGCTGAAATTGCTGTATACCCACTATCAGCCTTTTTTATTTTTGAATGTTCTTGAACGTTTCCATCACAGCAAGCGACGCCAACTCCGGAGTCAGGCGCGTTATATGAGTCATGGCTGAGCTACCCAGCGCACAGGATAATCTCGTAATGCACGGCTTCCAGAGGCGGGTTGTAGTGCGCCGGGAACTTGCAGCAATGTGTAATACCACCCAAAAGGGCGACTGTCATGCTGCCCGACCAGGCAGCTACTGCAAAGAGTGATATAATGTCGTGATGTACCATGTTTTATCCATAAACATTTTTGTGCCTAGAGATTTTCGTTCTTTTCTTCGCATATAGTTCTTGTTGGCGAACAAGATCTCCATGGTTATTTGAGCAGGCGATGCCGAGTGCATATTGAGGCTGGATTTGATGCCACGTAATCGTTAAAGAGCGCATGACCCCTCATTGCAGAAATGCATCATCTAAAGTGCATTCTGTCGACAGTGTCATAGCGCTGTCTCAAATTACATCGGATGTGCGCGCATGCAATAGAAACGACTATGAAGAATGCTGGCGTCGTTGGTGTGGACTGTCTCGCATCGAAAAGACACCGATTGCGATCCGACCAGACGAAGTGGGAAGTCACAGCGCGAAACGTGTGCCAGATATCTCCAATCACGTCCTCATAATCCTTCTACTCGCCCTGGACGACAGATTTCTTCGCTGTTGCTATCATGTTCCACATCAACTGTCATCGGGAGAAGGGCGCCACGATGTTCTCGATGTTTTTACACAGCCTTGATGCGAGCGCACACTTAAAGAATAAGTGCCCTTCCGTCTCAACAGCCTTACACCCGCTGCAAACGCAGTAAGTGATGCGTGGATTCGACTGTTGCAAAAACCAGAACCGCGAGTGCACAGGGAGAAGTCGAAACGCCGAACGTAAATTTTTGAAAACAGTGAGGAGAATCTGGCGAAGGTGTGTTCTGTATCGGGTAAACGTCTTTGCTTCGTCTCCGCCGACGCTGTGCGAGTGCAGAGGCATCGGATGAGACTTGTCCGGTGCCTTGGGCTTCCGGACCGCTTTAAGAAGCGCTTTCCTCGGAATCGATGGTATCCGATACACCTTTGAGCCGCTCGTGCAGCCCAAGTGAGGGAACGTGCGTTGCTGTGATTTTAAACACGCCATAGTACGTGCGCCACTTGGCCAGTTGACAAGATACTCCGCCATCTTCTTGAACATGGAAGACTCATACGGTCAAAGCAGTTGAGGTTCTAATGGCTTTATTTGCTTGGGACGCAGTTACCATATCATGGCTCCAAAGGTTTACCATGACCAGGTCAAAATGACGATTGAAAGAGATGAGAAATTTAGATATTTATCCAGATAAAGTATTTTCCCCTTATCAGACCACATATTGCGGTTGCTCGGTTTAGCACGTTTGCTAAAGACCTGATGCAATACAAGTCTGTTCCAACCTTTTTGAAAATTCTGGTTTGAAGGTTTATGATTTCAAGCCATCGGGTACTGAAAAAATAACTCCTAGACTTTATGTTTAAGGAAAAAATCTGAACTTTTGAGGTTGTTTTTTTACCTAGCTCAATCGACCAAGCCTGAACCATTTCAAGACATCTTCTCTCGCTATCAAATTATTGCTTCTCAAGTAACCGATCTATCAAACCCCCGGTTCATTACTGAGCAACAACTACTTTCTTCATGCGGCTGACTCCAACGCATGTGTTTACTGGTCTAACAAGCATACAAATCTACATTGAAGTCGCGATGGGGAAGCCTTGTCTTTTGGCGGGATCACACCGTTTCATAATCTTCAAGACATCACGCAACGGCACGGCACTGACCAAATTTTTAATGGTAGGTACTTGATCGTGGCGGCAAAACTTGACGCAATAAACATATATATTCACCTAGTATATAATCCGCTCTTAACAAGTTACCACTCCAAGTTCTATAACTCTTTATCACGCGATTTTGACGGCTCGGCTTATCCTTTGTCTTTTTTGGCCCTAACAGTACCATGGAGCCGGAGCTGGACCAAGCCAAGTCAATTTAACCATGACAATGGAAGACCAGAAACTTTTGAGTGGATGATTACTATAAAGTTATTGGATTTTTGGCGTCTCGAAAACCCAACTATTATGGAACTTGCAGGCCCGAAAGTAAAGAACAGAATTGACGATTGCCTAGCAATCGTAGACTTCTATGAGAACTTCGTTTGCTCAACAAGTCGCGTTTTTGGCTTGAGACTCGTCCCCGGTGACCGCGTTCCTGTTGAAGTTTCAGCTTCATTAGACTTTCCACCCCGAGTGAATGCACCGTTCAAGTGTCCACCATGACTTTTACAGTGTGAGGACATTTAATACAACTTATTTTCAACCAAAAGTGACTATTAACACACTATGGATCCCAACCGCAACCCAGGGTACCTTCTCGATGAAGACAAGAGCCAGGACCATAAATCCTTTAGCAATTACACTTAAATAGAAAGCACATATCGGCTGCTCATCCTCGTCTACTTATGCATGCTTTTCAAGACGCAGAACGACAATCGGCGCATGACCCAAACGACACCAACGAATTATACTGTCAAGAAGCTCGCCAATAATTATTGACTTCAATTCTGCAATTCGAGAACTTAACTCTGTCTCAAAATCTGACTCGGATGATAAAACAGCTGAAAAATCTTCCAAGAATTAATTTCGGGCTCCAACTTTGGTAGGCTGATGTATTTTCATCGGTCGTTACATCAACAGGAATATGAAGGGACACAGACAACATAACATCAACTCACCAGAGATATTGGGGTACACTTTTCCAATCCACTAGAAGGGATCCCAACGTTATTTTCAGAATTAAGACTTGGACAAAGTACAGTCATTTTGAAGCATAGCAAACGACAGTCAACGCTTCACAAGCTTCAGTATTAGACGCACCACCCACAGCTAATATTTTTGCTATACAACCAAGCACACGTGAGAAGTGTCTAGGTGTTGACGGCTTTATAGACGCACCGCTCAAAGCTTATAATTTTACTATGCAATCAAGCACACAGCACGCGCGAAGAGTCCAGGTCCTGATAGCTTACCAGTTAAGGCGCAAGCCTTGGAACTGGTGTATGCATCCCAATTTTTACTTGGTCGTATGACAAGTTTCAACGTAGTGCCTGTATTCTCTTCTTCAACAGAAAGGTAGTCAATCAGATCCAAAGAACTATTGCCCATCACAATATTAAATTACGATGCTAAGTTTGGGTCAAAATGCAGATTCAACCAAGTTTGAACCAAGGCTTCTAGGCGATCGATTTATTTGGAATCGGTCACGGTCGTGAAATCCGCCACATATTGAGGTATTTCTTGGATCATCACCATTACACCAACACTTGTGATACGCGAGCTTCTGACAGTGCTATTTGCCTCGACCTTACGAAGGCTTTTGACAGGGTCAAATGACTGGGATTGGATATTGTTCTTCAACACTGGGGATTTGTGAAGGTTTTCGTCGTTGGGCTTCAACATATTCTACTGAAACATTAGTAGAGGTTCTCATTAAAGAATCGCGTTCACAACTCTTTAGCTAGGGAGGAGGAGTTCGACAAGGAGACACACTTTCTTACCGGGGCTTTTTGCTCTATTTATCGAGCCTTTATTGTGCTATCTTCGAGTGGTCAATAAAACTCTATAAATGTCATCGCACTTTTAGCTTCGCAAACGACATGACAGGGTTGGCTAATAATTTCCACCAAGTCGCCCATCCATGACTTAATAAAGTCTATATCCTTTAGTTAATGACGGAACTGACTTACTGTAAAGACTATAGGCAAGCGTAACCTATGCCCTACGTTGCTCTGAGGAAGCAAATACGATAATGAATTATATAAGCTTAAACAAATAAAACTGATATCAATCCTATGAAATATGTAAACACTTGTGAGTGTTGGTCTTGTCGTATGTCGTGTCGTTTTTCGTATGTCGTATTTCGTTTGTCGTATTTCGTGTGTACTGTCGCTCCTCTTGTATCTCCAAATCATATGCAGTTATGCAAGACGTTAAGAAACGCTAACTAACGTTATATAACACTTGGTGTTATTTGATCGTTACACTTACTGCTTTATTTGCAAGTCTGCAAAGACTTGTAGAATAATAGCTTCTGAAACAAATCGTTTTCTTTACGCAGATGTGAAGACTTATTTTGTTTTGGGGTAAACACTTTTGAGATAATCCATTTTTCTTCACGCGGTTGTGAAGACTTTATTTTTTTGGGGATAATCAGTATCGCGAGGTATCAATTTACAACCTTTCGATGTCGAATCGACCGGTCATATACACCTTAACGCATTCATGTTCTGCATTGAATCCCCCTATCCAACACAAAATTTTGGATCTTTGCAAATATCACCGTCGTCATAACCATCAAGTCCGTGCGATGCCAGATGATAACTTCATTAGCTGAAATTTTTTTTTCGTGCACCATGGATCCAAGTTAACTTTTAAATGTAAACGGCCTTACACACACAAGTTGTTACGATGCTACCAAGACAACATCAAGACGTATGCCGACACCACAAAGGGCGCTGTAGGTTTGAGTAATCCAGCTCCAAGGACTGGCACAGCATCTTTCTCGCCCATCACGACGACAAAGTAATTAAATTTCACGCTTACTTCTGATTCTAATTAGTGAGCTATTTACATTTTCTCCAAAATTTTTGCTTTCACAGAAGATTTCGACTCTTAACACTCAACTCTTTCACGTTTAATAAGATAATAAGAAATCTTCAAAACAATTTAGTCAAGATAACTAGCATAATGACACATTATCAAAAACATATCATTGTGTGACTGAGGTGACGAAGAGTGTTAATTGATTGAGCGCCCCCTCCTTTTAATTAGCTTCGTGAATAGGCGAGTATGATAGGAGATGTCGCACTCAATTTTACAAGGTTACAAGTGTCACGTAGCGCAGGCGAGGAAACGTTGGCGGAGGAAGGCGAAGTCGGGAGCGCAAG